CTGGAGGCAAGCTATTATGGAAATGTATGCCACTCCTCCTTCCAAGCTTGTTTTCATCGGGGAGCTTCACCCCACTCTGTCCGCATTGGGTAGCCAACCATTAATGCATTTGACACATCAGTGTCACCGTGTTCAGCCTCACAGCAACTACAAGTGACCGCTATATGGCAACTTGTACACCAGGGCTATACAGCCTAGAGGAATGTCTGAACAAAAACAATGGAAGACAGGCCCGAGGGCCATGGATTAGAAGTCACCCACCTTTGGCTTGGTAGCATTGCACTCTGTCCACTGGGCCAGCTGATCTCTCTCTATTTGAATGAATATACCAAAGTTTTTATATCCATTCATTTGTTGATGAACATTTGGGTTGTTTCCATCTCTTTGCAATTGTAAACATCATGCCAATAAACATGGGTGTGCATTAGCTGTTTGGGTGGCAGTTATGGTTTCTTTAGGGTTTATTCCCAGTAGTGTGGTATTGCTGAGCCAAATGGTATTTCTATTTCCAACTTTTTGAGAAAGCGTCGTACTGTCTTCCATAGTGGTTGTCAGTTTACACCCCCACCCACAATGAATAAGGGTTCGAATCCCTCCAACCTCGCCAGCATTTATTGGTTGCTGCTCTGTTGAACTTTGCTTTATTGCTGGTGGCCAGGCTTCATTCTTATCTTACTCTCTTAATTCAGTGCTACTTCCACATGTGGAAAATGCATTTAATCATGTAAGTCTAAGAATTAGTTTTTGTCATTGTTAAAAACTCAAACTTGTTGCCATTGAGTCAGAACTGACTCATAACTGACCCTCTAGTGAGTTTGCAGAGACTGTACGCCACATGGGAGGAGACCGCCCATCTCTCCCACAGAGCTTCTGGTGGATTTGAACCACCCACCTTTGAGTTGGTAGCACAACTCCCTACCCACTAGGGCACCAGAGCTCCCATCATTGTTTAGTGTCTTTATAAGGAGAGTCTCTGTAAAACTGGCCTGCATACCAGCAGTCCCAAGAGTCATTCCCCTGCTGGGTCTAAAGCTCTGGACGGCCTTCCAGTGAACCATTGAACCCTAGGGACACAGAACAACTGGGAGCTGAACCAAGGAGGAGATGTTGATGTTAGAAATCATGGACCTACACAGGGGCTCACGCATTTGGGACCACAGCGACTGGAGACTTCTCGTAACCAGTTTGCTGTTAATCTTAGCCGAATGAATAATAAAAACAATTGGTTATTTTCATTTATTCCAATTAGGAGAAAATCCCTAATGAAAGAGAAAGAATAAAAAAAAATTCAATTTCCCCCTCGCTTTCATACTGAGGCATCCAGTTTCTTTTTATTCATGTTGAAATAATTTCTCTCTTCATTGAGGATAAAGGCCATGAATTATTAAGATTATCATTTTGCTCATCCTTCTCATTCCTCTTCCCTTTAGAAACATAAGCAGGGAGAGGTTATTTGCTCCGCATCCCTGCTAGTCTGCCCCTCCACCCCTTTCTGGGTTCTCCAGAGACACTGATGGGCAGGTTGTTTTAAATGCAGAATCATAGAGCTGGAGGCGCTCCAGCCCCCATGAGTTCATCTCAGTTTAGAAAACAGGAAGGTGTTAGCTGACTCTTTCTTTCTTTCTTTTCCTGTTCTTTTTTAAAGTAGGTAAATAGCCTCAATCTGGAGATAACCTTACAGATCCATCTGTGAAATGTGGTGGTGTTTATAAAATTCCACACAGGTGATGAAATGCAGTAGAATTAGGCATAAAGACATTTTGGGGATGGGAGGGAAACAGCACATGCACAGAGGGATATAAAATCATCTGTTTAGCTGTGTTTCAACCAGTGATTCTTTCCTGGTTTTGATGAACTACTGTAGTGACAAAAGATGTCACCAGTGGTGGAAGGTGATAGGCATGCAAGACTTTGTGTGCTGTTTTTGCTATTTTTGGGGTCTATATGTTGTCAGGTGCCATCGGATTCATTCTAATTCATAGCAACTCTGTGTAACAGAGTGAAACACTTCCGGCCCTGAGCTTTCCTGAGAATCACTGCTGTGTTTGAGCCCATGGTTGCAGCCACTGTGTTAATCCATCTCCTTGAGGGCTTTCTCCACTCGCTCTCTGCTTCTTCAGGGACTGGCCACTCCTGTAACATGCCCAGAGCATGTGAGACAAAACCTCACCATCCTCACCGTAAAGGAACATTCTGGCTACACTCTTCCCAAGACAGATTTGTTCTTTTGGCAATCTGTGGTATACACAGTCATCTTCACTGACACTACAATTCATCAGTCCTTCTTCAGTCTTCTTTATTCTTTGTCCAGTTCTTACATATGAGGCAATTTAAAATACAAATGCCAAGCAAAATGTGTGTGAATCTCAGCTCAAACACACATTACCCAAACAGAATGTGTAAGAATAAGTGAATGAAAAGCAATTTGCTTTGTAAACTCATTTAAATCACAGTTTGAAAAAAAATTTCTCAAGTAAGTTTTGACATTCAAATGAGAAAAAGAATATTCCATGTCTTAGGTCAGGTGCCTCTAAGTCCTCAAAGTGACATCCTTACTCTTTAGCATTTTAGAAGTCCTTTCTGGCACATGGTTCTCCTGCTGCTGTTTCTGATGTGGCTGCTTTCTGTCGCACGCTATCTTCACTGTTAATAGATCTTTCTTCTGTCCACTGGGTCTAGGATGTTCTCCGCAGAGGGTTCTCAAGTCCAAAGGACATACTCCACTCCCACTTCTTTTGTGTGGGTGGTAGTGAGTTCTCCCTCTCCTCTGAGATTGATTCTTGTTTAAGCCTAGCAGGGTAGCAGATCAGGGCAGTTCTCTCATTGTAGTTGCAAACACCTCATTTGCATGTCCCCACCTCCACATAGGTGCTATGCATCTTATTTGCATAATTAGCAATGAGATGAAATCCCCTTGATGTACCACAAGCACCTTTTTTGCATAGTCCTGCCCAGTCATTCTGTAGGTGTCACCCTACAAGTTTTACAGAGCAATTTAATATTACATAAACAAATGAAATGTAGAGGCACACGCAGTAACAAATGCCTGAAACAAAGATTAGCACACTTTGAAATGCCTGCTTTGTGTGTCTCTGCAAAGTTAATGAGCTGAGCTCTAAGTTCTTCACTGGCTTATCTCAGCCAAAAGACTTGCTTCAGTCTCAGTTTGATTTGAACTATTGTTCTTCTTGTTCTTGCCAAAGATAATCAATCTTGTTTCTTCTCAGAGAGAGAGAAAAAAAAATATAATCTGTACCAGATCTGCTTGGAATACATAACATTTTGGCTTCCTCGGCACTTCTGGGTATTCCTGCATGAGGGTAGAACCATTATTTTTTTTTTTTTAATAAAAACAACAAACCTCAGAACTATGTTCTTGGATGCATTTTTAGTGCATTCATCTTTCCTGAAAAAGAGAATCTTTTCAAGCATTCCCTTTGTCTTCATGGCCAGAATATTTTGTTCATATGTTGGAATTTGCTCTAGCTCATGTTTTCGGCAATAGTGGGCCAAAACCTCTCATCATTATTCTCTTTCTCTGTGTGTGCGTGTGTGTGTGTGTGTGTGTGTGTGTGTGTGCATTTACGTTCCTGTGTATGAGCCCCATGCGGACATGGGTTTCTGCTTTCTGCGCAACCATAACCCCAATGCCTAAAATTATGTCTAGTGCATCAAAGGTGTTCCATAGTCATTGGATGAATGAGTCACTGTATATGTTGAAGTTAGCACTGTAGTAATTACATAGAAATTTCCCTTTTCCTTCTCACACCTCTCCCAGAAACTTCCTTGGCAATGGTCTTTAAGAATGGCTTTTCAAATGAAAGCAACTCAGAATGGGTTGGGGAAGTAATTTGCTCCATCAGCCGTTTTATAATAGCCTGGGGTGTTTTGACTTTTAACAAGGCATATACCCTTGACTGGCCTGGCTGATGGAAATAATGCAGTGTGACCTGTCCCATGAGTGCCAGTTCCAGGGTCAGTGGCTCTGTCCATCCCCCGACTCGAAGCAAGTCGTTATAATTTCTCATGTGCAGACACAGTGTCGTCCAGAGGCAAGTGACCAAGAGTCTTTACCTGATTGAGTTCCTGTTGAAGAATGAGGAAACCTTTCCCCCAAAACCCCTGAATGACTTCCTGTCCTATCAGGGGATACTGAAAGTACCTGCCACAGTTGTTGTTGTTAGGTGCTATCGAGTCGAGTACAACTCCTGGTGACCCTGTGAACAAAAGATCTGAACCTTCTTCTATCCTGCTTCTATCCTGCTATCTAACCTTCTATCCTTCTAACCTCACACTTCCTAACATACAAGAGCCCATTGCAATGGTCACTGTGTCAGTCCACTTGGTGGATGGTTTTCCTCTCCTTCGCTGACCCTCCACCCTTCCCAACACCATGTCCTTTTCCAAGGAATAGCCCCTCCCAGCAACATGCCTGTAGTATGTGAGGTGAAGCCTCATCATTCTTGCCTCCAAAGAGCACTCTGGCTGCACGCTCTCCGGGACACATTTCGGACACAAAGAGGCCCAATGGGGAGGATGGAATTGCCCTAAAGTCTTACATTATTTTCAGAGTCTGACATGGATACAGAATAAGTCCTGACTGTACCGCTCACTATGAGGTGGCTTAATCTACCTGAGCTTTGGCTTTCTTGTCTGTAAAATAAAGATATGGTGAGGAGGTGAATTACTTGATGGGTCGCTTCCAGCTTTGGTGAAGCTGGGTGACTGTAGGTGTGTGTCCTGTCCCCACTGCCCCTGGTGAGACTGGATTGGAGCCCACATGTGCCTGCCACCAGGCCCAGAGCATTGTTCCACTGTCCTGGTGCCACACCTGCTTCTCTTTGTTCCCATGCTCTGCATCCTTGCAGGCACAGGGAGCTGTGGACGTGACTACATGACCACATTCACTTTAGAGCATGACTCTGGGCCTCTCTCAGCGAGGAATGATGTTTTAGATGTCCCAATCTGCTAATATTTTTTCCCCTTTCTTAATTCGTTAGGCTCTGCTAACTGAGATGATGGAGAGATGCAAGAAACTGGGAAATAAGTAAGTATTTTAAAATTCTTAGTACATGAGTTTAGGGGTGGAGTTGAGCAACTTTTGAGCTTAGCGTGCTCTTATGAACCAGAGGGAATGGACAGCGTGGTGGCTGAGACCTGAGAGGTGACAGAGGGAGAGGACGTTGTGCCTGAGAGTGGTGGAGCTGGATTCTGGTTGCCTGAGTTCAAATCTTGACTCTACCTTTTTTTAACGGTGTGGCTTTTGTCCTGTTAATGAACCTTCTTATGCCTCAGGCTTGTCATCTGTACAGTGAAGGTAATAGTCATTCTTGCCCCGTGGGCCTGTCTAATGGCCCATAAACTTGATCTGCCATAAACTTGATCTTCCTGTCACAGAGGCTGTGAGATTTCCTCTCTGCTCTCTCCAGTGTAGATGTATAAGCAGTGTTGAGTAGATTTTGTTCTCCTCTGAGTCCCCGGTGCCCACAACAGTGCTTCCCACCGATGTGAATCTCTGTAGCTTGAATCAATATCATTGCTTAGTATATGGTTTTATTAATTGCTGGGAATGAGTTTTTATTCCTTCTTCAGTTTAAATGGCTGTGATTGGTTGCTTGTTTACCTATCCATACGTCCTTCCATCCATTTATCCAGACAGTTGGACATTATCGAGTTCCAGGCATGCACAGAATATTGTAGAAGGCTCTAGAGGTTTGCCTTGCCTTTACACACTACTTCTTTTTTTCAGCCTTATCATTAAAGGGCTGTTCTGGTTTGTTGTTATGTTCCATCGAGTTGATTATGACTCATAGTGACCCTGTGTACAATAGCTCTGAACCCTGGTCTATCCTGAGCCCATCTCACTGTCCCTGACACACCTACCCTCATTATCCTAGTTACTGTGTGAATCCATCTCCTCTGGGGTCTTCTTCTCTTGTGCTGTCCCTCAACCCTTCCAAGCATGATACCCTTCTCCAAAGACTGGTCCCTTCCAGCTACATGCCCAAAGTATATGAGACGAAGTCTCAAAATCCTTGCCTCCAAGGAGCAGTTTGGCTGTTGGTCATGCTAAAATCCGACGTCGTTGTTGCTGTGCGCCTTTGAGTTGACTGTGACTCAGTGACCCTGTGAGCAGCGAATCACAACCTTACGCTGGTCTGCACCATCCTCACTCTCTTCTCACTGCTCAGCCTCTGTATCAGGGTACAGTCACTGGGCAGTCTACCTTGGTGAGAGCCTTCCCCTCTTCATCTGACCCTCCACCTTTCTCAGCATGGGCTAGCCTGACAACATGCCAACGTGGCATTAGATGTCATGAAATGAAAGTGACTTCCATTAATAGGAAGCTGTGTGGAGAGCTGTTGGCCGAGTGAATTAGAAGTTGCGCTGCCAACCCAAAGGCAGGCAGTTCAAATCCTCTGTGGCTGTTTCCATGGGAGAAAATGGGCAGTCTCCTCCTATGTGATTTATAGCCTCTGACAACCTACTGGAGGGTCAGCTAGTAGTTGGCTCTGACTTGAGGGCATGTAATTATAACAACAACAACAACAACAACTGTTGACTCGGGGTTTGTGTCTTGCAGCGCATTGCTATTGAATTCCGTGATGTCTGCCTTCCGAGCTGAGTTCATTGCCACTAGATCCATGGATTTCATTGGCATGATTAAAGAATGTGATGAGTCTGGTTTCCCCAAGGTAGGCTCTTGACTTAATGTTCAGCGGGACAATAGACAGGCAGTGTTTAACTGCCAGTCCTCAGGGGAAGGAGACCTGGGTTGTGGGTAATATGGACCAGCAGGCAAACAAGCTTAGGTTCTGTTATGCCGAGTGAGACTGAAGAGGAGTTAGAGCTTGAGATTGTCACACACTGTGCAATTGCAGTAAGTCACACTCCCGTGAGTCCTAAATCTACCCATTTAGCTCACAGTGAAGTATTTAGCAAACACATCCATCTCATATCTTTAAAAATAGATCTTCTAACACAGTCTCAGAAGGACAAATACTGCGTAAGACCATTATTGTAAAAATAGAAGGATAACTAGTAAAACATTTTTGGGAACTGGGGGGGGTGTGGAGGGGTGGGAGCAGAGGGGTGACAATAGGTAGGGGCGAAACCACAGGGCTGCACACTTTGGTGGGTGTAAGGAAAAGGGTAACGAAAGGGGAAGAATCTGGGCAAAAAAGTAATGATGGGCAGGGCCCAACAGTGATTGATTTTATGAAACATGATGCATGAGAATAATTGTAGGAAACAATGTGAATGAAGAATAGTGTGAAATGCAATGTATCCCAAACTTTGTAAGCAAGTCAATTAAAAAAAATAGATCTTCAGTGAATATTTATGAAGATCCTTGCCCTGTGGAACATCGTGGGCCATAGATTATTGGTCATGTGGACTTAACTCTGTTTGTCAGTTTTAGTTCAGCTGTTATGGATCGATGGTAAAATTTCAGAAGAAAGTTTAAAAAAAAACCCCACAAAACACCTTTTCTGTTAAACCTTGGGCATCATGATTGACTATCTCCAATAACAGTTTGATTTTTAAAATTTTTTTTTCCTAGCATCTCCTGTTTCGCTCTCTGGGGTTAAACTTGGCTTTGGCTGACCCTCCCGAGAGTGATAAACTTCAGATTCTGAATGAAGCTTGGAAAGTTATCACGAAACTGAAGAACCCACAGGTGGGTGACCATTTAGAGTGATGCCAAGTTGTGCAGGAGAAGCTTTTTTCAGTAATTGTGCTGTTTTTAAAAAGAAATTCTGGTCATTCCCCTACCCGACCCCTATTCCAACTGTTGCCTTGGGGTAGTCTTTAAACCTTAAAGGAAATGTTTTGTTGGGTTTTTCTCCCACCACTTTGGTGTTTTCTTGGCCAGATCATTGCCATCTTTGCCGCTACCCTCCTTGCCTCTCATAGGCCTCCTTCCTGGCTTATAACACAGTTTATTATTTTAAATTTATGAGGCTCTTAAAACATAAAACACTCACCTTCACAAATGAAGGGGCATCTTACAGGTGGCATACCTGTTTTTACTCAAAATAGGCAGAATCACACTCAAAACAAAGCTTATACTTTCAGCCAAGTCCCCATTCCTCTCTGTGTGAGGCTCCTTACTGTTAACCCCGAGAGCCCTGATTTAGAACATTCTTCTGATTCTCTAAACTTCATCAAGCCTCACAGATTTCCTTCTTGGCCCAAGGAGCAGTCCTGGAAAGATCTGGAAAGACATTATCATTAGTCTCGGGCAGCTTATTATCATTTTAAAAATAAGGTTTTATTGTGTTTTAGGGGAAAATTTATAGAACAGATTTTGTTCCCACATACATCATCCAGTGTCATGGATTACATTTTTTACACTCTGTTAACATTTTCATTGATTCCATTCTGAATGAATATTACCAGTTGTTTCTGGAAATCTGGCTTGCCTGCCCCCTGACCATTTTATCTTTGTGTCATAGTAGAGGTTGGCCATTTGGTCTCATGTTTTGTTGTGATGTGCCATCGAGTTGCCTGCAACTCATAGTGACCCTGTGTACAGCAGCTCTGAACTCTGCTCTGTCCTAAGCTAGTCTCACTGTCTCCAACACACCTACCTCTGTTACCCTAGTTACTGTGTTAACCCACCTCATTCGGGGTCTTCCTCTCCTGCACTGTCCCTCTACCCTTCTAAGCATTATGTCCTTCTCCTGGGACTGGTACCTCCCAAAGTATGTGAAATGGAGCTTCAAAATCCTTGCCTCCAGGGAGAGCCTGAGTTCACCCTCCCTAGGACAGATCTATTTGTTCTTTTAGCAGTCCTTGGTTTGTTCAATACTCTTTTCCAGCACCACGCATCAAAGGCATCAATTCTTCTGCCAACCCTCTGATTCATATCAAGTCATTGTGAAGACCATGGCCTGAATCAGGTGCACCTTACTTTCCAAACTGACATCATTGCTCTTCAGCACTTTGGAGAGGTCCCTGACAGCTGCTTTCCCCAGTGTAATTAATCTTTTGATTTCCTGACTGCTGATACCAAAAGTGTCAATTACGGATCCGAGTAAGCTGAAATTGTTAGCAACCTCAGTCTCTTCTCCATCTATCACGAAGCAACCATGATCGGCCCAGTGGTGACAATCTTTGTCTTCTTGATGTTGAGCTTTAATCCATAAAGGTGACTAGAAGCAAGGATGACGAAGCTTCATCTCACATACTTTTGACTTGTTTTCTTTCAGGAGAGACCAGTCCTTGGAAGAGGAAATGATGCTGGGAAAAGTGGAGGGTCAGAAAAAGAGAGAAATATCTTCCACATGATAGACTTGACAGACTGACTAGCAATGGTCTGGAGCATAGCAGAGTTCATGAGAGTGGTGCATGATCTCTCCTGGGCAGAGAGGGAGAAAGCTCACATCTGCTGTTCTTAGTGTCTCTGTGAGACTTAGCCAGTTCAAGGGCACTTAACAACAGCACTCCTGGGTAATAGTCTTTGTTTTATGAGCCAGTCTGTTAGGTAGTTAAAAGATGACCTCAGGCGTAATTTCAGTTTAAAGAGTATCTCAAGCCATTCCTCAGAGGAATTCTCCATCTCCATTGTTCTGATGAGTCTGGACTTTTTAAGCAGTTTCTAACTCAACTTCTCATTGTAAAATTTATCATGGGGCCTGAATTTCCTGCAGATAAACCACTCTTGAAATGCCTATTTCTTGTCAGACTTCCCAGAGTCCAAGCCCTTGAGGGGACTTTGTAAGCCATGTGTCCTTAATGTAAAGGCGTTGTGCTTTGTTTTTTATAGGACTACATCAATTGTGCTGAAGTGTGGGTCGAGTACACCTGCAAACATTTCACGGTAGGTGACTGTGGCATTGTTTTTGAAAGAACTGGTTTTCTGTAATGTATATAATAATGAATCTCTGTAAGGCGATTAGGCTTTTTATAGTGATAATTGTCTTCATAGTTTGTACAAATGGCTTCCTTTATTTTATAGTGTGATGATACATTGATAGTAGCCCCATAACAAAAGTGCTCTGTGCCTCCCTTTAAACTTGGACGGTGCTGTGGCATCTGAGGTTAGTGTTGTCCACCTTCACGCACCTCAGATGCTTATTGCCGTTTTCCAAGGGAGTCTCATGAGTAGCCTACCTCAAACGTGTCTGACTTGCTTGCATTTTTTCTCCAAGAAGACACTAATTTTCCTAGGTATATGGTATGCCCTAATTGGACAATTATGAGGCCTATCCAAATGCAAAGGCTTTCAAAGCAGATAGAGCAAGGTTCCAATTCTATTGCAACAGATAACTTCTTTGTCTTAATGTAATTTTTTAAATTGAAGTTTTAAAGAAAGTTTATAAAGACTTTGGAATTACATTCATTCATTTTTGCACATTTTCCTCCCTGCCCACCCCACCCCCAGCTGGTTTTTCTCTTTAAAAAGTAATATATATATATATACACACACACACTTTCATTATTATACAATGCCCCCCCCTCCCCAAAATCCACTCCTCCATGAAGCTCTCATTCTGGACTCTTGTTATGAAAATAATACCTAATCATATATTCCTTTCAGTTCTCTCCCTCATCCGTTTCAATGCAGTAGTGTTGTTGTTAGTGTTCAATGCAGTATACATTATTTAAATCCTCTTTTCTTAGATTCCCCCTAGAGCTGATGTCCGTCCTGCTTTACAACAGTGGCACCGTGCAGTATTTGTCCTTTTGTGACCGAGATATTTCACTCAGCATAATGTCCTCCAGGGTCACCCATTTTGAATAATAGTGCATGAGTTCCTTGTTTTTCAATGCTGCATAGTATTCCATGTGTGAATATACCACAGCTTCTCTATCCATTTGGTTCCAGTTTCTCCACAACCTTGCCTGCATTTGTTATTTGCTTTTCTGTCAGACTTTACTAATCTTACTGGGGTGAAATGATATCTCATAGTTGTTTTGTTAATATTATTTTTAAAAATATATTTCATTGTGATTTAAATGAAAATTTACAGGAAGGTTGAGTTTTCATTCATTCATTGTTGCACATTTTCTTCCCTCCTCCTTTCCCCCTCCCCCAGTGCACTTCCTTTTTTTTTAAAATTTTCATTCATTGTTGCATAATTTCCTCCTTCTCTTTCACTTCCCCCTCCCTGAGCCTACTTTACAGTGCACCTCTTATTCCAGACTGCTGTCATACAAGTAATGCCTAATCAAATCTTTCTTTTAAAAAGTTCTTTCTCTCATCTCTTCCTTTGCAGTGTTCATTATCTATCTATTCTTTTCCTAATTATCCCCCAACCCCCCATGTCAGTCCTGCTATAACAGTTGTACTGTGCCGTATTTGTCCTTTTTGTGACTGAGATATTTCACTCAGCATAATGTCTTTCAGGCTCACCCATGTTTTGTAATGTTTTACAAGTTATTTTTTCAGTGCTGCGTAATATTCTATTGTGTGAATGTATCACAGTTTTTCTATCCATTTGTTTGTTGATAGGCACTTGGGTTGCTTCAAAAATTTTGCTCTTGTGAACAAAACAGCAATAAATATGGGTGTGCATATATCTGCTTGGATGGCAGTTTTGGTTCTTTAGGGTATATTCCCAGTAGTGGAATTGCTAGGTCAAATGTTATTTTTATTTCCAACCTTTTGAGAAAGCACCAGCCCACCTTCCATAGTGACTGTGCCATTTTACACTCCTACCAGCAGTTAGTAAGAGTTCCAGTCTCTCCACAAACCTCACCAGCATTTGTTGTTTGCTGCCCTGTGGTAATTTTCTATTGCTAGGAAATAATTTTAAGAATTGAAGTATACATAAGGAAACATAAGCACACAAATTGTGAGTGCAATATTAATGAATTTTCACAGCACACACATATGTGAGCACTGTGCAGATTGAAAAACGGAAAAGTGTGTCCTTCCTTCCTCCCAAGTATTTTCACTCTCCCCCCAGTCACAACTCCAACCTTTGGTGAGTTGACAGTGACCCCCATCTTGATCTACTTCCAGATACTCGTTTCCCCAAGTAAGTGGTAGAATGCTGTATATTAAGTGCATTGATTTTCTTTTCTTTTCTCTGCTTTTTTTCCCTACTCTTTAATGTCAAAAATTTTAAATGTATGATTTCCTCTATACTTACTACCCAGGAATTACCAATTCATTATCAACCTTTTTCTTTTCAGTCTTTTTTTTTTCTCATAGTTAGAAAATCTCATTTTAGTTGTTTACATTTTCTTTCAGTCTTTAACACTTTTCCTGCCCCTGGCTATTTTGAAATAAATTCCAGATATCATTTATAATCTGTAATTATTTTAGCTCCTATCTCTTAAGATATAAACCATTCCCCCTTTTGAAGCGTAATTCCAGTTCTGTTTAGGTCAAATGAAACTATTTAATATCATTAAATATTCAGTCAGTGTTGAAAATTTCCCATTCTCTTTTTTTTTTTTTTCCCCTTTTAAATTTGTATTTTCAAATCTGGTTTGAAGTCAGTTTCATCTGTTGCTATTGATGTGCTGCTGAGATTTTTTTAAATTCTATGGCTTCTTTCACTCACTTGCGTCTTTCCCCTTCTAAGTATCAACAGTGTGAAGCCCAGGAGCCTTGGAGAATGCTGTGTTAATCCCAAGTTGACCAGGTGTAGCCACTGTGATAAAAGACACCAATGACAGGAGAGGGGTTCTCCTCTGACATTATGTTCAGCAGAAAGTCTGAAACTATTTCCTGGAAGTTTTTTGATAGATTCTGAACGTGCTAATCCTTTCTTTGATGAGTTAACAGCTGACATCCAGTGTTAATTGGAGCCTGCTTTCTTTTCACTCTGCAGAAACGGGAGGTGAATACCGTCCTAGCGGATGTCATCAAGCACATGACCCCAGACCGTGCATTCGAAGACTCCTACCCTCAGGTAGCAGATGAAGGTTTCTCATTTCAGCCAGTTTATTCTGTTGATTTAATTAGGACTGTTGTGTGGACTGGGCCGAGTAAGCTTGGGTGTGATCCCAGTTCTGCCACAGCCAAAGCTGTGTGCCTTTTGATTAATCGCTTCACTTGGCTCAGCTTCACCTTCTCTCCTTCAGGCGGGGACGGGCATAGGCCTGCTCTCAGAGTTGTTTGAAGAGTAAGTGAGGTGGGATATAGGAAGTTTTTTGGCCTGTCACAAACACTCAGTGTCAACATCATTGTCATCACCAACAAATAAAGTACCTACATATTTTGAAAACCTGCCAGAGTCAGGTGTTATCTCAGTTCTGACCTAAAGGCACTTAATAGCAAGTGTTAGGCGGTTGTTCAAGTGCTGTTCAGTGGATTTGAATACAGCATATAGCAGCTCTATGAACAACTCTGAACAGAGTTCAGATCTGAGCTCTGTCCCGTCCTGAGCCATCCTTACCATCCATGACCCATCTCATTGAGGATCTTTCTCTCCTTTGCTGACCTTTCACTTCTCTAGGCATCATGTCCCTTTCCAAGGAATAGCCTCTCCTAACAACATGCTCAAAGCATGTGAACTAACGCTTCACCATCTTTGCCTCCACGGAGCACTCTGGCTGCTCTTTCTCTGAGACATTTCTGTTTGTTCTTTCAGCAGCCCATGGGATTTTCTGCACTCTTCTCCTACACCACAATGCAAATGAATTAATTCTTCTCCTGCAATCCTTCTTCCTTGTCCAGCTCTCATATGTATAGCAGGTGATTGGAAAGATTGTGGTTTAAATCATGTGCACGTTAGTCTTTTTTGTGTGTGCACCTCAGTCTTTAAACTGGCATCATTGCTCTTTAGGGCTTTGAAGAGATCCCTGACAGCATGCTTTCCCAGCTATATGTCTCCCAGTCTCCTGACTGCTCATACCAAGGTTGTTAACTTTGGATCTGAGTAAGATAAAATCGCTGACAATTCCAGTCTTTTCTACAACAATACTACTGTTGTTGTTGTTGTTAAGTGCCATTGAGTCATAGACGACTCATAGTGACCCTGTGAATGAAAGTCTTGAACACTTGTATAACTTTGATCGTTTATCTAACTTCATAGAGTTTCTGGAGTCAAGCTATTTCAGATGCCACTCCTGCTTCCAAGCCTGTTTTAATTTGAGAGCTCCGTCAGATACTGTTGGGCTGCCATTATCGCATTTGACACATCACTTAACGTGCTCTGCCACCAGGGCTCCTTGATACTCCACTTGGTGGAGGAATGAAAACCTTACGTGGTTTGGACTTGGCCTTGGTGCACAGCAGACTCTCAGTAAATCCCGTTGAGTGAATACAGAGTGTAGTGAGTTGTACCATTGGTGTATCTCAAGTGTGTATAAGAAATATGCATGACAATATTTGTTGGGAAATATTAAGTAAGATCTTGGCTTCTAGAGAACTAATTATTTGAAGCCTTAGAGTCATTAAAAAACTCTTAAAGCCATCCTGTTTGAAGATAGAGGAGTCAGGGTGAGAGAATACCATTCCCTCATAGCGAAGGCATCTTCTACAAGATGTCTGGGTGTTATGTAAGATTCAGGGTGCTTGCTCATCTCAGTGGTAAACCCTTTGTCCTAGGTGAAGGCCATGTCATAGGAAAGAAACCAGCCTGTCTCTGTGGAGGACAGGCTCGCTCCAGGGCCCAGGCAGGGAAAGAACATGATGAGCCTGGGCCATTTCTGTGTGCTCAGAGGGGCGAGTGAAAGAGCCCAGGAGCAGTTTGAGACATTCTCCTAGGCTCCCACCGAGACAGCGTCACAGCAAATTAGGACAGTGGTAGATTATGACCCAGTGCATAAAACAGGAATCCCTGAGTCCATCGTCGTGATAAATAGATGAATCAGTAGATAGCTACATAAGGGGAATGGTGGAGGGAAGTAGCTCTTTCTTTTTTTTTTTTTTTTTTGAATTTTTTCTAATGCTTTTTTAAAAAAATTTATTTTATTAATTTTAATGAACATTTACAGAGATTTTGGATTTTCATTCATTCATTGTTGTACTTAAATAGCTCTTCTTACATCTGTTGAGAAGAATGATAAAATTGAAAATAATCATCATTCTGCAGCCATCACATCAGAAGCTTCAATAGAGTTAAGTTCAGGGGAGAAGTTTGAGGAGGAAGAGATTTGCATTTCTTTCTGTAGAGCACGTGTGAATTTTAAGAAGAAAAATAGCGGCTGTGCAGTGGAGAAATTGTACAGCCCTTTGACTAGCTGATAAAGGTTCCTATCACCAAAGGAGAACTGATGGGTGTGTGTGTGTGTGTGTGTGTGTGTGTGTGTGGATACCTTGAGAAGGAGACAGAATCATTCATGTAACGTTCCATCCAGGAGCACAAAGCTGTGTTCTAATCAGAGGGAAGCTCATAAGCCCAAACTGAGAAGCAGTTCGCTAAAATTCTTGGCCTGTGTTCTTCAAAAGCTGTGTGGTATCCTTTCATGATACTTGTTAAATATTCAGTCTGTAAGCTGAGCATATCCTCTGAGAAACTGGAGCATAGGAAGAACAGCACAGCATCAGGATTGGAGGATGACTCATCAGCCACCTCTGATATGCAGATGATACAACTTTGCTTACCAAAGGTGAAATTTACTTCACACATTGATGAAGATGAAAGGCTGTGAATTACACCTTGAGTGTACAGAAAATTAAAATTCTCAGAGCCGAACCAATAAACAGCATCATGTCATTGATAACTGGAGGGGAAAAAAATGAAATTGTCAAGCATTTCTACTATGATCAACAGTCAAAACCATGGACAAAACAGTCAAGAATTCAAATATTACGTTAGATAAATGAATTGCATTAGATTGCTTAGGCAAATCTGGAAAGACCTCATTAACACATTGCTGCAAATGACGCCTATAGCGAAAAAGAATGTGTTTCTAAGCACGGTTGTCAATTGAAAAGTATGCGGCAGCGTGTTAAAATGTAAAAAACTGTCAGTTTTGGCAAATAAGATACAGAGTGCTGAAAAGCAATGATGTCAGTCTAGAGACTAAGGTGCACCTAATCCAGGCCATGGTCTTTGCAATTACTTGCTATGCATCAGAGAGCTGGACAAGATCTAAGGATAACAGAAGAAGAATTGATGCATTTGATTTGTGGTGCTGGAGAAGTCTTGACCATAGCAAGGACTGAAAAGAGAATAAACAGGTTTGTCTTGGAGACGGTGAAACCAAGTTTCTCCTTGGAGACTAGGATTTTGAAACTCCATTTCACATACTTTGGGCACGTGACCAGGAGAGACTGGTCCTTGGAGAAAGACAGCATGCTTGGGAGGGTGTAGGGACAGCACAGGAGAGGAAAACCCCGGATGAGATGGATTGATAAAGTAAGTGGGGCAATGGGGATTGGTGTGTCGGGATTAGTGAGACTGGCTCAGGACAGAGCAGGCTGCAGAGCTGCTGTCCACAGGGTTACTTTGGGTCATGGCACATAACAACAGCAATGACCCTCAGCTTTGGCGTTTTCAGTGGATGTGAAGTGTGAACGAGGGAATAAGAAGACAGGGAGAAGAATTGACATGCCTTTTGATATTGAGAAAGAATATTGAATATTGGAAGCAGGAGTGGCATCCACTTCCTAAACAACATGCCTCCGGAAACTCTATGAACTTTGATAAATGTCGATAATTATAGAAAGGCTTCAGGCCTTTTGTTCATAAGGTTGCTATGAGTCATGCTTGAATTGACTGCAGTAAACAACAACAACAAAAAAAAACAAACAACAACCAGAAACATGTAAACTTTGGTGTTAGAGAAATAGAAGTGAAATGTTCCTTAGAAGAAAGGTTCTGAAGACCCTGTCTAGCTTCCTGTCGGCATGTCACCAGAAAATAGCATCACATACAGTAAACAGAGGCTGTGCAAAACTGAAGAAAATGCTGAGGTAGAACAAGACAGTAGCCTCAACAGTGGACTCAAAGTCTCTGAAGACTGCACTGGACCAGGCAATGTTACGCTCTGTTACACATCAGGCTGCTGCAAGTTGCTGCCAGTGCGATGGCAAATAAATCATCAGTGTTATGAAAGACCAAGAAAGAATGTTCCAAACTAATGGTCTTGCTGTGCATAAAAAAGCTGGACAGTGACTAGAAATGACAGAAGAAGAGTTGATGCCTTTGAGGTACGGTGCTGGCGAAGAGGATTGATCATACCATTGACTGCCAAGAAAGCAAATAGTTCTGTCCTGGAGAGGGTGAAGCCAGGTTGCCAGGAAGGACCAGTCCATGGAGAAGGAACTGAAGTTTGGAAGGGTAGAGGGATGGCGCAGGAGAGGAAGACCTCAGATGAGATGACTTGACACAATATCTGGGGTAATGGGGATAGGTGTGTCAGAGTCAGTGAGATTGGCTCAGGACAGGGCAGGGTTCAGAGCTACTGATCATATAGGGTCGCTGTGAGTCACAGTCAACTTGACTGCACATAACAGTAACAACAACCGTGGGAGCTCTGGTGGCTTAGTGGTAAGAGGTTGCACTACCAACCCAGAGATACACAGTTTGAATCCATCATTGCTCTGTAGGAGAAAGATAAACAGTCTGTTCTCGTACGATTTACTGCCTCTGAAAACTCACTGGAGGGTCAGCTGTGAGTCACCTCTCACTCAGTGGTACAAAGCAACAACAACAATGAGACATGAAAACAAAATGCAGTACATCATCCTGGACTGGGTCCTGGACTGCAAGGAGGGGAAGAAGGTGTCACAAAGGAGCCCTGGTGGCACAGTGCATTTGTGCTGCTGACTGAAAGGTTGGTGGTTTGAATCCACCAGCTGCTCTGTAAAAGAAAGATGAGGCAGTGTCCTTGTGCAGAGATTTACAGCCTTGGAAACCCAGCAGAGGGTCACCAGCTCCATAGCAGTGAGTTCAGTTGATTTGGTTTATAGAGGGATTTGTTGAAGCAATTAACAAATTAGAACATAAAGTAGAAAAAGAAAGAAGTTATTATTTCATTGTTAACTTGCCTGAACTGAATAACAACACAGTAGAAATGTCAAAGATACCTTTATTCATAAGACATGAGCACTGAAATATTTAGAGGTGAAGGATATTATATAAGGACTCAGGGGAAATGTGTTCTCTGAAGAAAAAGATAAAGCATATGGTGCAAAAATGTAAAATATAGGCAAGTTTGAGTAAACAGGATTAGTGAAATTCTCTGGACTGTTTTTCCAACTTTGATGCAGATTTGAAGCTAGAAAAAAAAAACACCAACCCAGGGTTAAATTGTTTGTGTACATTTTGTGTTTATAGATTCTCTTACTATATATAGATGTAGAGAGAAAACAAGTGTAGCACATTATTAACAATTGTCAGATCTGTGTGGTTGTTTATTGTCAGATCCTCTAAAAAAATTCCATGTTTGAGCATCTTCATAGTGAGACATTGAGGTGAAACCTAGAGTTTTAAATTAGACACAGTGCTGGCCAATTGGCCGCATCGTGATAGATGGAGAAGAGATTGAGATTGTTAATACTTTCATCCTCCTCAGTTCTGCAATCAACACTTGGCACCAGCATTCAGGAAGTCAGAAGATGAATTGCATTAAGGGAATCTGCTGTCAGAGACCTCTTCAGAGTGCTGAAGAGCAAGGATGTCAGTCTAGAGACTAAGGTACACCTGATCCAGGCCATGATCTTCACAATTACTTGCTATTCATCAGAGAGCTGGACAATAACCAAAGATGAGAGAAGAAGAATTGATGCCTCTGAGTTGTGGTTCTGGAGAAGGGTCTTGAACATACCATGGACTGTCCAGAGAACTAACAGATCTGTCCTGGAGAGGAGAAACCAAGCTGCTTCTTAGAGGCAAGAATTTTGAGCTATCTCACATATTTTGGGCATGTAGCCAGGAGGGACCAGTCCCTGGAAAAGGCTATCATGTTTGGAAGGGTCAAAGGACAGCACAGGAGAGGAATAGCACAGATGGGATGGACTGACACAGTAACTGGGGTAATGAAGGTAGGTGTGTCAGAGAGAGTGAGATTGGCTCAGGATAGAGCAGGGCTCAGAGCTATTATGCATAGGATTGCTAAGAGTTGAAGTTGACTCGATTACGCATAACAACAACAACTATCACTGCACTTAAATATGAAAGGAATTTCCTCTTCTCAGCAGACATATGACTTCGGTTAAGTTTCACAAACTCTTTTAACCAAGAGGAGCTCATGACACCCACCTCATAACGATCACATTATTTGTCATGAAATTTTGAAATCTGGTTATTCATCTTTTACATGACTGACTTAGTAAGCTACTTAATAATGAAATGGCCTTATATTTGATGATAATACTTTGCACCAGATATCAGGACGGGTTCAACCCTGGAGGAGGAAATCATGCTTGGGGGTCAGAGAAAAGGAGAACGGCCCTCAACAAAAAAGGAGAATGACTGCTGCAGTGGCCTCAGCACAGCAATGACACTGCGGGTGACCCAGGACTGGGTGGTCCTCGCATCTCTTTTACGTGGGATCGCTATGGGTTGAAACAGACTCGGTGACACCTAGTAACAATGACACAGTAATTAATAGTAATAATAACTCATATTAGTGGAGAGTATTCTGAAGACTAGACCCTGCCCTAGGCACGTTAATACTCTCCATTTACCATACTTGTACTCAGATTACACATGTTATATGTTACTTTGCCGGCTTTGCAAGGCTTATTCATGCTATTTTCAGAAGTGCTCCTTGCCGTCCGTGTGTTATATGTGCGAGCTTGATAGACGGGCATGGTCAAAGGACCTAATGAATAAGGTATTTCTTTGATCTCCATTTGACAGATGAGGAAACTGAGACTGAGAAGTTATTCCCCCCCAAACTGGATGAAAATAGAAGGCCTCTCAGGCTGAGACCCCATCTAAACATAATTTCCTGTCCCCGAAGTGAGCTACTAATATTGTGACTGAAGTTTAGGAGAGAGGATTGCTTTTTTAAAAAAAAATTCAAGCTTTGGTAAATGAGATGTATGTTTTGTTTCGCTTTTCAGCTGCAGTCAATAATTAAGAAAGTTATTGCCCATTTTCATGATTTCTCCGTTCTATTTTCAGTGGTAAGTAATGCTTCTAATGGTCTTTGGAAATTTGCCCCTAGGTCACTGGCTCCAAAATTTCCTGAGTTCTTAAAAACCCTCATTTCCTCTGTAAGTTTTCAGGATGCAGCTAGGCTAAAAAAGAAAAGTACTTAATAGTTACTTCTATAAAGAAGTAAAAAAAAATCCTGAAGCCTGCTGCTGTTGAGCTGATGTTGACCCATGTCAACCGTCAGTTGGGTTTCTGAGGCTGAAAACATTAACTGAGGCAGAGCACCTCTGGGTTGTTATTTTCTCCCTTAGAGTGGCTACTGGATTTGAACTACTGACCTTTCAGTTGGCAGTGCACTGTGTAGGTGACATCTACCAACAACAAGAACAACAATAACTCAAGTAGCCATTGGAGAAAATGACACACATAGATTGAAAGACAAGATTTTCATTTTATTTATTACCTTATTTTGTAATGGAATGCCTGCTCTCTTAGGGCCTCGCCCAGCTTCTCAAGCTTTGGTTTAAATGGGATGTCCGCAAGAAGCCCTGGTGGCAGAGTGCATTACGTATTAACTTGTTGGGCCTCCAATGCCAAGGTCTGCAGTTCAAGTTTAGCAGCCACTCCGTGGGAGAAAGTCTGTTCTTTTTTTTTTTTTAAATAATTTTAATGAACATTTACAGAGAATTTGGATTTCCATTCATTCATTGCTGCACGAAAGTCTGTTCTTGTTTAGATGAGCGGTGAGCCTCAGGAACCTGATGGGAGGGTTGCCCTGAATCTCAGTTGGCTTGATGGTGGGGTATTTGGTGTTTGGTTTTGGAATGGGCTGTCACCAGAGCCCTGCTGGCTCAGTGTGGAAAGTGCACAGCTGTTAACAGAGAGGTTTGCTGCTTGAAGTCAGCTGCCCCATGGTAGCATAGCTGTGGCCCTGTGGGTTTGCAGCAGTTCCCCGGGGAAGACAAACCCAGGGCAGTGTGTGTATAGTAACATGCTCTGCCCTTCCTGAAGCTTCCTTCTTGGTACAGTTCCCTCTCTGCTTTCCTTTTGTCTCAGAGACCTGTATATTGCTTTAATAAGAATAGTTTTCTAAACACCTATTGAGGAAGCTGTGGTGGCCTAATGGTAAGGAGTTGTGTTAGCAACTCAAAGGTATGCAGTTCGAATCTACCAGCTGCACTTCAGGAGAAAGAGGGGCAGCCTCTTCCCATCCTATTTACTGTCTCTGAAAACTCATGGGAGGGTCAGCTTATGAATCAGTTCCGACTCAATGCTATACAACAACAAACACACCCATTTAAGTCCTCTCCCTGCTTTCAGATGAGCTCACATCTGACCCCATCTGCTTTCTTGACCCCAGAGAAAAGATCCTCCACAAATCTCCAATAGCTTGTGGATATTGTATTTAAAGTGAGGTTTCTAGTTGTTGGTTTTGTGTTTTTTTTTCATTTCTAGGAAAAATTTCTGCCATTTCTAGACATGTTCCAGAAAGAGAGTGTGCGAGTGGAAGTTTGCAAGTGCATTATGGAGGCCTTTATCAAGTAAGTATAACAGATGTCACGGGAGCCTTGCCCAGCTATGCCCTCTGAGAGCTGTTATAAATCAGTTTATAGAGAGGCTAAAGCTGATTAGTGGTTGCCAGGGGCAGCGAGAGATGAGAAAGGTGTGCTCTGCTTAGGGAAAGCTGATCTTCTGTGAAGGGGGAGGGGACACGTGGAGACAGATAATGACAGTGCTGAACAGTGAACACTGAATTGCAGACATGCAGAATTGTGATATGACAGATGTATTTTGCATGTATAATTGCCACAAAAGGTTAAAAATAATGAGTTGACAGGTGTTTGTTATATCTATATTTAACCACAAAAAAGGTAAAATAGAAAAAGATGGAATCAATTTTAATAATGTATATATTCCTAAGTGGTATAGCACTGGTCTGTGCATCTGCTGTACAGAGGTAACTTGTGGTTGCTGTGAAGCCGAACACTGTGACATTGATATGTTAAATGTGATAATGATTACCCACGGTAGACAGTATTTGGTGGAGCTCCCCTATTAAAACAAGCTTGGAAGCAGGAGTGGCATCCGCTTCCAAAATAGCTTGCCTCTGGAAACTCTATGAACCTGGAGAAATGATGGAAGTTATACAAGTGTTCAGGTCTTTCATTTATAGGGTAGCTGAGTTGTCTACAAGTCGACAGCACCTAACAACAACAACAACAACATATATTCCTAATGATATATTTTATTAACTCAGTATGTTAAAAATATTGACATTTTATGGTATAATCAATAAAAATATTAACATGGACCAGGTAATAAGTACATATTTCATATCTAAAATCAGATGGAAGGAAAACCATATTGTCATTGTTGTTAAGTGCCCCGAGTTGGAATGAATTCATAGCTGACCCTTCATAGGGTTTTTAGAGGCTGTAAATTTCTGAGAAAGAGGTTGCCCATCTATCTTTCTTCCACAGAGCAGCTGGTGGATTTGAACCACATGCCTTTGTGTTGGCAGTTCAACTTCTTACCACTAAGCCACCAGAGCTCCCTTAGGAAAACCAAACTGTAATTATAACCACAGTAGAAGCAGAAACTATGATAGAAGTTTGTAGCTAGTGCTTAACATAAATTTACATTTTCTTGCTGCTAGGCCACCTGTGCTTTAACTAGTACCTGCATTTTACTATAATGTACTTTGAAAGAAGTAATCTTTTCATAAATGACTTAGAAGATAACATTTTAAAAGGTAAAAAGAATGCCCTGCTTATCAGGGTACTGGAGCTAAAATGGTTTCCAATTTCAAAGTTGAGATAGCAGGTTAATTAAGAAGCAGATTTTAAATTTAGTCTTTTATTTATGAAATATGTTTTCTAAAACTGCTATAACTGCTGTTGGTATATGAAGTAATTTGGCGTATATATGGAGGAGACTTTTTTTTCAAGTTATGCATTTATTTTGAGGTATGTTAGGAAAGATATTGTGTATATAATCTGTGATTTTATAGATATTATTTAGAACAGTGTTTAAGTAGATAAAAGAAAAAACATTAGGTATGTAGATGTTGTTGTTGTTGTGTGCTGTTGAGTTGGAACCAACCCATAGCTGACCCAGCCGGCGGATTGTTAGAGGCAGTTAATCACACCGGAGGAGATTGCCCATCCTTCTCCCACGGAGCAGCTGGTGGCCTCGAACCACGTGCCTTCGGAATTACAGCTCAGCTTCTTGCCACTAGGCCACCAGAGCATGTAAATAAGATTTTTAAAAAGGTAGAACTCAATAACTACAGTTTGGAAAATTGAGTTAGGTGAATAGTATGTTTTAATCTTTTGTTGTGCTATGTTGATAATAGATTAATTCCATATGCTTGGAACACATATGCCTAATTTATTTACATAAAGATATCTTAGAAGAGCCCTGTCCTCTTACATGATTTGGAAAAAACAGATTTAATAATTTTGCCAGGCACTGGACACAATTACAAACAGCTTGTAATAAATAACTTCAGAAGATAGGAGAAATGTAATTAGACAATAGGTTTGCCCTTTGCCTAGTTTAGAAAATGGAGCAGCTATTGCATGATTTTGCAAATAGGAGAAGCTGTAGGACCCATGGTGGTATGAACCCATAGTTAGGTGCTTGGTTTTTAACTGAAAGATTGATGGTTTGAACCTACTAGCTTTTCTGTATAGGGAGCTCTGGTGGCCTGGTGGGTAAGGCATTGCACTGCCAACCCAAAGGCAGGCAGTTTGAATCCACCATCTGTTTCATAAAGTTTTCAGAGTCCCGCTATTTCAGATGTGGATGCCAATTCTCCTTCCTAGTCTGTCTTAATCTGGGAGCTCAACTTAAACTTGTCTAGCATGGGTGACACTGTGGCACTTGACACACTGATGGCAAAGCTTTGAGCATCACAGCAATGCACAGGTTACCCCAGTACAGCACACTGACAGCCAAGTACAGTACTAATTAGAAAAATGAATTACCCACAGTACAACAAACTGATAAATTAGTGTTGCACCTCTAATAGCAAATCAGGCATATGTATTATACTCAACTCGATGACACCTAACAACATCAGCAATGACAGTCTGCTCCATAGGAAAAATATTCCTCCAGTGTGATTTATGGCCTCTGAAAACACCCTGGAGGGTCAGCTGTGAGTCAGGTAAGACTCCACAGCAATGACTTTGACTTTGTCTTGAGCTTCTTGATGAGAAAAAGATACGGCAGAGTGCTTCTGTCAAGATTTCAGCCTTAGAAACTCTATGGGAATGATTTTACTCTCTGCTGTAGAGATCCTGCGAGTCTAAATGTACTTGACAGCAATATGTAGACATACTGTGAGCAGAAGAGCAGATATTTATTTAAAGAAGAATAAAAGTAGCTGCAATCCCAGAGATGCCTGGTTCAAATCCACCAGATGCTCTGCTGCAGAAGGAGGCACAGTCACCTCCTGTATCAGTCAGATCTGATTTGAAGGTACACACATTAAAAAACAAACAAACAAACAAACAAACAAACAAAAAAAGAAGTAGAGTAAACCTAAGATGCAGCTGATTCTGTGGGCTGCAGGAGAGGAGGTGCTGCTGGAGGTGGAAGCGCGAGGCATTTTCAAAAGAAAGAATTGCAGATTAACGGATAAAATTTGTTTTAATAATTTTTTAATTAATTTTAATGAAAGTTTACAGAGACTTCAGGTTTCCAGTCATTCATTGTTGCACTTTTCTCCCTGCCCACCCCCTCCCCACAATTCACTCTGCTCCTTTAAAAGAAAAAGAAAAACTCTTTCATTGTTATGCAATCCCTCCCCCGAAAGTCCACCCCACTATGCAGCCTTCACTCTGGACTTCTGGAATGACAAGAATACCCATTCATGTCTGCTGGGCTTAGATTGTTCCAAATATTTACCAGAGTTTGCAAATAGTAATGACAAAGATGATTAAGTTTCAAATTGCCGTTCAGCAGTGAAGGTATTTTCCCCAGAAGATGGAAAAAGGCAGATATTGTCAGAGCGTCACAGGACTTTTGGCAGTTAAGTAGTCCAGCAGCAAAAGCGATCTACAGGTTTGCATGTAGCTATCTTAAGACAGTTTACTTAGTTCAGATGGGTTTTCCTGATCTTAACTGAGTATTGAAGTGTGGTCCTGTGGACAGAGCATTAGGTTTTCTTCCCTGGCACATCAGATTGACTGAGATTGTTTCTTTGCTTTCTCACCTAAATATCAGTTGTTACTGTTGTTGTTTTTGTGTACTGTCTAGTCGGAACCAACCCATAGCTGACCCTCCGGTGAGTTTTCAGAGGCAGTTAATTTCACAGGAGGAGATTGGCCATCCTTCTCCTGCAGAGCAACAGGTGGATTTGAACCACGTGCCTTTGGCAGTGCAGCGTCTTGACAGTAGACAGTTAGGAGGGCTTTTTCTCAGCTCTCTGTCAACACACAGCCTGTGACCAGCGTTTCAGAAAGTAGTGGTCCCTGGTTGTATGATTTGATGTCAGACTTTTGGAGAAAAGAACCCAAATGACTCTGATGTTTATAAAGCACATATGAAACCCTGTATATGCCCAGTTCATAATCATCATCATTTATCAGCAACAACAAAAGAGAATACCAGACATTGAGTATTGTTGGTAGACTGGATTGTATTAAATGACAACCAGAGTTTTCAGCTTCTCAGGTAAGAACGTACATGAGAACAAACTCCACACAGTCATTGTTCTCAGTGACCATAACTTCACTGCTTTCTCTGTGTATTTTTTAGGCATCAGCACGAGCCCACCAAGGACCCGGTCATTCTGAACGCCCTTTTGCATGTGTGTAAGACAATGCACGACTCTGTCAAGTAAGTCATGTTCAAAACTAAACTGTAGCATGGATTGGGCCTTAATCCCACTTCATATTACACTGGGGACTTGTGGCTTTAAAGTGTCACTTTAATTTTCTGTTTCTGTTAAAATGATTGCTAACAAGGTCATAATCCAGGAGTGGAAAGAGGCTGAGGGTCGCTTTCTTGAGGAAAAGTGATGGCAGATGTTTTTATACAGGGATTTCCATTGAGAGAGAAAGACTGGGTTCATCCAAGTGAACTCAAACTCTCTATTTCCCAGAGACTTCTAAGGGCATCAGATAGTTTAATAATGAGGCCACTCATGAAGCAGTGTGGTACTTTATTAAGTTATCTCATCATTAACCTGTTATTTGAAATTCTAATGACATTTCCTGCACTCCTTACTTGAAGGACTTTATTTGCTCATTGGAATGGTGGTTCAGACTTATCCATAGCCCTTACCTGGGGTCAAAGGCTGATGAATCCAATCTTTTGCTTTCTAGTTGTTTGCTGCACTTTCTTTTGGCAGTACTTAGGGCAATTCCTGTTGACTTGTGGCTGAAATTTTAGTCACCGAAGAATTTTCAATCATAGAAGGTTCATTTACTGGAAAATGTTACAAGAATTGAGAAAATGATTTTTCAATATAGCATATCTCAACAAGATTAATTGTATTTCTTGAAAAAAAATTCGCATCATTTATCTTCATGATTTAGTGCTTTCAAATTCTTATGGAAATACAGAAGTAAAAATATCAAGTCTTTTCATAATGAAGAGAATTTCTAGACTTCCGTAAAACAAAGATGGAGATAAAGCCACAAACAATATTCAGAAAGGTGCTTATATTTGTAGGATGTTAGTCTGACTGCTGTGCCAGAGTCAGATAGAAGGGGCAGGTTTGTTTTTGTCTTGTGTAAAAGTAGAGATCGGGTGAGAGTTTGGAGGTACTTCTGCTTCAGACTATTGTCCTAGGACCCAGACTCCTTCCTTCTTGTTGCTCTGCCATCCCTCTGGGATGTTGCCCTTATCCGCATGGTGGAAACGGATTTTTTGAAACCATGTTCATGTTCCAGCTTGCAGGCATTGGGGGACAAGAACCTTTAAAGGACGAGACTTGGAAGGTGTGCTTATCACTTGTGTTCACATCCTGTTTCTCAGAATTGTCACAGGACTGTAGCTAGCTGTAAAGGAGACTGGGATGGAGGAGAAATTGTGCAGGGAGGGCTGTTGGTAGTCTGTACCAGTCCTAATTCCCCTTCACTCACTTGGAACAAACAAACAAAACGTTGGCTCCTGTTTTTTTGATAACTCTTAATTATTTTTAAGTAAATTTGAAACAGTACTTCATAGGCTTTTATTTCTATAATCAAAACTCTAAGGACTTGTTTATATTTTTAAATGTGTTAAAATTTTCCATTTAAATAGTTCATATATATACTTCTCTTAAATTGTATATTACATAAAATTGCTATTGGTAGAATGTTGATGGTGAGATATATGGTGGTTCCTTGGAAAATTCAGCTGTACTGTATGTTTGAAATTTTTTATAATAAAATATTGAAAAGTCCACTCAAACTCAATTTGAACATAGACTTTGCTGCTTAAATACAAAGAAGAGAAAGTTGCCTTCTGTTTGTTTCTTAAGATACATCTTGAGAACAGCACATTTGGCCCAGTTAAGAGAAATGAGAAACATATTTAAATGACATTGTTTTAGATTATACATTTTCATCAAAAGAAAATTATCCAGGCCATTGGAGGTTTTTTTAATACCTAGAAGATTAAAAATGTCCCTACCTATTAAACTGCTTTCCATTTAATGTACTTTTTTTCTTTAGAAGCTCATGTATTACCTCAGTGTTAATTATGTACAATTATCGATTGCAGTGCACTAACTCTTGAGGATGAGAAAAGAATGCTGGCATGTTTGATTAATGGATTTATAAAAATGGTAAGTATTAGGGAAGAAGTTTTAATGCACTTGGAAATGTGAGTAATTGTTTATCCTCGTTGTGATGAGTGCAGTTAGCATTAGGTTCCCTGGTGCTTTTCATTTTGAGTTGAGATGAAATTAGGAAACGTCATACGTTAGCCAGGACTCCCATGAGGTCAGACAGAGCCAAGACAAACCAGCTTAAAGGAAAAAACTAAAGGGGCCAGAAAGGCGGGGACAGGTTGGCTCACGCAGCAAGAACATCCAGGAATGGAGCTCTCTGGAGGAACAGCTGGACGTGGTCTTCCACTGATATCATTAGGACCTTTATCTGTCTTTGGCCTCCATTCACTTCCCTTGTAGGCAGGCTCTTCCGCATGAAAGCCTGCATTTCCTCCCCCCAGTTCTGCAGCCCAGCAGGAGGTGCTGTAGCAGAAGCCTGAGGGTTGAGTTTCTTTGAGTTGATGTGGATCGTGGACCAGACCTGACAGTAAGATGCTTGGCCTGCCCATATCCTGTGGACTGCAGATGGGGAGGAGGAGTTCATTGCTGTTGTCAGATGACAGCATGAGGAAACTAGATAGCCAGTGCTGAAAGTCCATTCTCCATCCTTTAAGTGTCTGTCTCTTGCTGAATAACAACTTCCAAGATGTAGCAGGCTTGGAATGAGAGTGTTTGGGAATCCCGACAAATTGACGGGTGAATTCACGGGTGGGGGTTGACTTGGGACCAAAGATTGGTGCTGGAGGATCTTAGAGAGCCTCACTCACATGTCTGGGGCCTTGCTGCTGGCTGGGGTGTCTTCTCCGCTTATGTGATCAGATTTTTTCTGTGTGGCCTCTCAGCTCTGGCTTCCACAAGGATGAAAACGGAGCTACAAGACTTCTTCAGACTGGAGCTTAGGAGTTACCCAAGAATTATTCTGCATTCTGTTGGTCAAAACAAGTCAGGGACAGCATAGGTAGAGGGGAGAGGAAGAGAGGCCAGAGCATATTGCAAAAGAAGAAGCAGAGTGAGAGGGATTATCGTGACCACTATAGAATATAATCTGTCACACCTTCTCAAATTAAGAACAGTCTTTACCTTTATTCCTCATATGCAAAGTCAAAATACCCACTTCTGCTGATGCCTTCTGTTTTAGTAGGCACATCAAGACCAGAGCTAACAGAAATGAAAATGTCTAGATAGCTTTGAAAATGACCTTGACAATCTAACTTGTTCAACAAGGTGGGGTCAATTATAACTGCCCTCCTGACTCTGTGGGTAAAATATCAATTTCTTTGAAAATTCAGGGTTAGTCTTTCAATTACACCTTAGGAAATGTGCTTTGATTTTCCTGGGTGACTCACCCATGCCCTGAATTGATCTCCTAATCATACGATATTTATTCTTTTATGATTTTGCCTGAAAGCCAGTGAAGTATAATGAGAAGGAATATGAGGAAATCAGATGTGAAATCTGATAGCTGTAATGGAACCAGCCGTGAGAAACCTCGTCTTCATAAAAATAGCAGACAGCCGTAATGTTTGTCCTGCTACCAGCTGTTCATATGTTTGAGGGAAGAAGAGGACAGAAATGTTAAGGGCAAATAAATGTCTATGAGGGCTGTGGCAGCCCCCATTGAGCTCTGAGGTAGGAATCGCTGTTAGGATGCGGAAGGTGTGACTTTTATTAGGGGCATGCTTCTGATAAATGGCTCCCAAGAACTAGATTCATATTCCATGAAAAGGCTGGAGCTGACAAGGAAAGTTCCATTATTTCCTTCCCAGTGACTTTGGCATAGGGCGGAAAATCCTATTTACATTTCGACATTGTTTCAGACCCTTCAGCCTTTGTATGTTCAAGTATAAAGCTTAACCTCAACAAAATGAAGTAGTAATATTTTGGTTATGTACGGAGTGCAGCGATGTAAACCATTTTAGATAAACATGTGTCAGTGTGTGTGTCGGCTCTAAACTAAAATTTTCTTTCAATTTCACTCATTCTTATGCTGTTTCCAGGGGGGTGTCCCACCCATGGGAGCTCAGGAAATTCCTTTCCTCAGTGCTCACTGCAGCCTGGAACTAACATCCTTTTCTGCATCTTCTTCTGCTCCTAGGTTTCCTTCGGCCGGGACTTCGAACAGCAGCTCAGTTTTTATGTGGAGGCCAGGTCGATGTTTTGCAACCTGGAGCCTGTTCTCGTGCAGTTGATACACGTAAGGATTTCCACTCGTCCGTTCTCTCAGCAGATGTTCCCTGGTCATCTGTATGCCAGGCAGCCGTCTTCGTCTGAGACTCACGTCCCCGTGTACTGCTGTTTTCTAGAAGTCAAAGAGTGGTTCCTACAACTTGGCTCATGTCTTCAGATGATTTTTCCAAGTTGTTTTTTGCTAAACTCTGCATGTCTTTATTTTCACATGCCAACAGCAAACATCTAAGGGAATAAATTAATCACAGAAACGCTAACGTAGAGTTGCCTCTTCTAGAAATTTCAAACCCTCTTGGCTCATGGCATCTCTTGGCGGCTTTTCACAGTGTTTCCTGGGCCAAAAGAAACAAATGACACTTCTATTAGATGGATTCAAACAAGTATTTCTGCCCCAACACCATGGTAACCTTTTGAAGAAAAACAATGTCCATAAGTGAAAGAAAAATATCACTCTTAAATAAGCACATGACTTAATAATGAGCTATATTATTGTTGTTGTTTGTCAGAACAACAACCCACAGCTGACCCTCTTGTGGGTTTTCAGAGGCAGTTAATGGCCCGGGAGGAGATTGCCCATCCTTCTCCCACAGAGCAGCTGGTGGCTTTGAACCATGTGCCTTTGGGATTGCAGTGCAGCTTCTTGCCACTAGGGTACCAGAGTATATGTATATATACCTATACCTACACTTATACCTATGGAGTACTGTACTACACAACTTGTCAGACCTTAGAATTGCATTAAACCTTACCACCCTTACTTCCTGTTCCTCATTCATCTCTGTACATTGTTGAGATTTTTATCTGAGCAACTGCCCCAGACCCAGCTTAGCCAAGAGGTGACAGAACTGCAGGGAATATCTTCCAGTCCAGCAGGCAGCCGTGCACTGCCTCACACCAGGGCCTGGAGCAGTGCCCAGGGTCTCTCAGTCACGTGCTCATGGGAGTTTTCTGTGGTGTCCTTGACCTGCTTGGAACACAGTCTGAGAACCATCCACCCAAACACTTCATAGGTGGGAAAGTCACCTGAGGTTCCATGTGAACAGAAAGAGAAATGGCCCTCTTAATGGATTTGTTATTCAGTATCAGGTTACTTCTTGTTATGTGCTGTCAAGTTACTTGCGAGCTCTGAACCCTGCTCTACCCTGTGCCAACCTCATTGTCTCTGATAAACCTACCCCATTACCCCAGTCACTGAATCAATCCATCTCATCGAGGGCCTTCCCCTCCTGCGCTGTCACTCCACCCTCCCAAGCATGATGTCCCTCTCCAAGGACTGGTCCTTCCTTGTGACATGCCCACAGTATGTCAGACGAAACTTGAGAATCCTTCCTTCAAGGAGCAGCCTGATCTCACCCTCTCAAGGATGAACATGTTTGTTCTCCTAGCAGTCCATGGTATATTCAGTACTCTTCTCCAGCACCACAGCTCAAAGGCATCTATTCTGCTTCTGTCATCCCTCATCATTGTCCAGCTTTCTGATGCATAACAACATTAAACCATGACTTACAGATGAAGTGTGAGAAAATTGGGGGGGACCTGGTAGTGCCCCCTTGAAAGAGTTGTGAGGATGACGTGCAGCACTGAGGACAGGACTTAGAACATTCTAGATGATACTGTGATGACGCCTCTTGTTACTGTTGCATTGCTAACCAGGCTTGGTTTACTGTTTCTTTTAGTTCTCTAAGCTCTTTTCCTTCTCTAAGCTCAGTGTGTGGGTTTTCTTGACATAGAGTCAGTGAACCCTGGCTGCTCATTAAAGCAGAGAACGATCTTTTTGAGCACCGGTTGATAGGCATGAACGACTCCATTTGTTCTCCTCCCCTGGAGATGTTTGCTCAAGTTGATATGGACTCAGGCCCTCCGACCCCTTTGGCATTTCAGGGTTCGGTGCTAAGCAGCCTTGTCCCTGATCAGATTGCCCTCTTCACCCTGTGCATAGTTAACGTCCAGATGTCTGTGCAAGATATTAATCTGAGCCAGCCGTATTTTCACTGCCATTTTTGTTTCTGTTTTATTTCTTCTCAAATCCAGAGTGTGAACCGGTTGGCAATGGAAACAAGAAAAGTAATGAAGGGTAATCATTCCCGCAAGACAGCTGCGTTTGTTCGGGTACGTTCTAAAGATACAGACGCTCACGCATCCAACTCCAGCGAGTAGTTTCGTTTTCAGGTTACTAAAATGCCATTCTCAGAAAAAGATGAGGGTGATCATTTACTATCGACTTTTTAAGTTTGTTTTTCCCTGGGTGTCTCTGGGCTAATTGATGTCTTTGATGTTTTTAAAAGAAATCACTAAGTCAACTGGAATTTTATTATTTGTTCTGAGGTGCCAAGTGAGAAGGAGACTTGTGTTGCCAGCTGAGTGTTCTCTAGGACATTGGCCTGTAATTTGGAAGACCCAGTGCCTTTTTTCTCTTTTCCCAAAGACTTGTACAAATTTGATGGAGGGAAGGCTAAAAATCCGCTTCTTGAGAAACCTCTTCAAAATTGTATAAAAACATTAAATGTCTGGCTTTTTAAAATGGAACCATACAAAACAAGATTAGAATGAAAAATTAGTCCTTTCTCACCTCATCCCTTTTTCTTCATTTGCCTCCCACCCTTTTGTTTTATATATAATTTTTTTCATTTTGTACTGGTTTACTTAACAACGTTCATATACATTGTTCTTCTCACTGGGTCTTTCCCCTTTGCTTTACTCTCCCTTCTCTCCACCCATCAAATTGTACGACCCTATGATTAAGACTCCTGTATCCTCACTCATCTGCTCCGTCCTCCTCCCCACCTTGGATTCTTGTATATGTTCTACAATAATCGTCTAATACAGTATTTGTCCTTTTGGAACTGAGTTAGTTCACTTACCATAATGCTCTTCTGTCCCTCCCAACATAGCAATTCCACTGCTTGGAATATGTTGTTGTTGTTAAGTGCCATTGAGTCCTAGGCGTCTCATAGCAACCCTATGAACGAAAGTCTACGACACTTGCATGTGTGAGTTTCATCCTTTCTCCAGGTTCATAGGGTTTCTGGAGGCAAGGTATTTACGGACGTGGATTCCACTCCTGCTTCCAAGCAGGGAGCTCCACCAAACACTGTCCACCATGGGTAACTGTTACCGCATTTGACACATCAGTGTCACAGTGTTCAGCTTCACAGCGACCACGAGTTACCTCTGTACAGCAAGTGGACACACCAGGGCTATATGACCTGCATCTCTTCCAACTTGGAATATACTCTGAGAAAATGAGAACTGAGGCATAAACAGAGACTTGTATGTCAATGTTCATAGCAGTGTTAGTCACTATTGCAAGAACTTGAAAACAGTCCAAATATCCAACCACAATGGAATGAATTGAGAGATTATGGTACATTCACATGATGGAATACTATGCAGCACGCAGGAACAATGATTTTGTAAATGACTATCTCCCACCGTTTTTAGCAATTTCTTCTTTAAGCCCCTCTGCATTTTCAAGTAATTGAATTAAACAGCTGTTGCTTCAAATACAAATTATAAGGATTTAACAATTTCCTCCTCTGATAGAAGAGGATTTACTCTTGAGACAGTGTTACCTGTCTTATCTTCCATTCTCCATCCCCTCAAATGCTGTCAGGTACAACAGAGACAGCAGGGAGACATTGCAGCTCAATGTGGGGGATTCATGGCCATAGATATTTTCATTAAGCTGAACGTGATGGGATGGAGTAAACAGGGGTGTGCATGCACTCGGAGAGCATTGCAAATGTGACCTTCTGGGGCTCTCCCTGTCTTCTAGGCCTGCGTTGCCTACTGCTTCATTACAATCCCCTCCCTGGTGGGAATCTTCACGAAGCTCAACCTCTACCTGCATTCGGGCCAGGTGGCCTTGGCCAATCAGTGTCTTTCCCAAGGTAAGCCTGTCATTCTCCTGTGGGGCCCTCACTTGCTTAGGAAAGCTGACTCAGCTTATGTGTGTATGCATGTGTGTGTGTGTGTGTGTGTGAGTTTTCTTTCTTTTAAATTTTATTATTTTTGTGCGTGTGTACCAAATCGAATCTGACTGGTACAGGAGGAAATTGTCCCTCCTTCCGCAGCAGAGCATCTGGTGGATTCGAACTGTGCGCCTCTGGGATTGAAGTGCAGCTTCTTGCCACTAGGCCACAAGAGCTCCCCAGTGAGTTTTCTTTTTAAAAAAATAATTTTTAGGAAGTGGGCAGGGATAAAAGTACAATAAAAAATGACTGGAAATCCCAAGTCTCTCTAAACTTCCATTAAAATAAATAGATAGATAGATAGATAGATAGATAGATAGATAGATAGATAGATAAATTAAAAATTAAGACAAAAATTATTTTTATAGCTGTGTCTCAGTAGACTTCTTTTTTTCTTAAATTTTATTTTATTCATTTTAATGAACATTTGAATTGTGATTTTAACAAAAGTTTACAGAAAACTGGGATTTCCATTCGTTCATTGTTGTACTTTTTCCTCCCTACCCAGAGGAAATGAAAAAAGTGATTAATGGTGAATTTTAAACCTATTTAAGTAGGAAGCACATTTCTGTCTTTCTCTCTGTGTCTTACACACACACACACTCACTCTCTCTCTCTCTCACTTTTTAGAGTCAGATGGATCTCAGAGCTTAAGTGTTTACTAATAAGATCCTTTTTTAAAATCTGACTCCCATAGGCCAGGTCAGGTCAGGTCAAGCAGCTCAGACATCTTGAGCTAAATATACCTAGAGGATTTCTGAAGTTGTTGTTGATTCCCTTCAAGTCGAGCATGACTCAACTCTTTGAACAAAAGGCCTGAAGCCCCTCTACAACTATCGACATTTGTCAAAGTCCATAGTTTCTGGGGGCAGTTAGGACTGCTTGATCGTGGCTGATTACACTCACTCACTCGTTGCCATTCAGTGGGAACCAACTCATAGCTGACCTTCCCCCCGGCGAGCCTGTGGATTATGCAGGAGGAGACTGCCCGTGTTTTTCCTGTGGCGCAGGTAATGACCTTGAACCAGCAGCCTTTGGATTGGCAGCACAATTCTTTACACGCTAGGCCACCGGTGCTCATCCCAGCAGATAGAGGTTTATTTTCTTCTTCTTCCTCCTGCCTTTGGTTTTGTTTTGTTTTGTTTATGTTGGGGGGATGTGTTTGAAACCCTGAGGCACACAGGTCGAGTCTGATCCACACATAAAGCACATACCCTACAGTTTGCATCATGGATGACAGTTGATGTGCTCTTTCTGTCACAAGTAGAGAAGCAGACTTTGAGGTGAGAATGAGCAGGTGGAGTTTATTTTGGAAGTGATCCTAGAGGGTGTCAACAGGGTGATGGGGAAGTGAGACTGAGGGGGAGCGAAGCTAGGAAAGGGGTGCACTTGTGAGCAGGTTACCGCTGTGGGACACTCGGGTTCCTTCCCAGTGGGGCCTCTGGGAGATGCCCTGGGGCATGCTCCAGTGTTAACCCATCTGAAGGGTGGAAGGTGGCTGTTTTTATTTCCCTCAACTTCCGTCTGCCTTTGTCTGGGAATTGTTTCTGGGTCTCTGCCTCCCTGGCATTTAGGGCATGCTCCTCCTTTGAGTTAAGGAAAAGCTCTCCGGTCAACTGGAAGTGTTTGCTCTGTGTCGCCCTTGTCTCTTCTTGGAACTGAGGGTGAGGGACACATGGGTGGGGCCCCTACAGGTCTGCAGCAAGGTGTGTGTCCAACAGGCATCACACAAAGTAGAGAAATCCTGGCAGCTGTAATCGTGTGCCCGTCACAGGGTGTATCCTTTGTTTACATGTTTGCAGCCCTTTGCATCACGAGTCTCACCTCACGCAGCTGCATGTATTCCTTCCAGCAGCCACATGAGATTAGATCTGTGATGATGCCTCATTCCATAGCTGAGAACATGGGAGCGGGAGAGGATAGAGACCTTGCCTGAGTTAGGTCCCCTCCTGAGTCACCGAGCCACCAAAGAAAGCTTGGCCGCTGAGCTGTCTGACTCAGGTCTACAGGCCCAGCACTCTGATGCTGGGCATCTGGGAAGCAGAGTCGAATAGGTTAATGGATTGTGTTGGGAGTTTTGGTAACCCTGTATAGAGTTGAAGGAGTGTTGGTAGAAGAATGTGGAGAGTGTCAGACTGCTACCTGAAAGATCAGCAGTTTGAATCCCAGAGGTGCTGCACAGGAGAAAAATGGGCAGTCTCTCTCTCAGAAACCCAAAGGAGGGCCCCGTGAACTGGGCTCACAGCAGTGGGCTTTGGCGGAAAGTTCTGGTATGGAGTTGAGTGATGTTGTCAGTGTTAGTTCTTCCCACCTTTACTTTATCTTACCCAGAATCATGGATTATTCCTGACTTAGCACCTGCTGCTTTGCCTCGTTCCAGTTGCAAAGTGCTTGCTTCCTACTCTGTTCTCTTAACCCTTGTGTGATGATTCCAGCCTTCATCTGTGTCCTGACTGCTCTGGGGAGGCTGAGCTCCAGAGTCTCCCCGTGTCTTAGCTCTCTACCAAACTCTGCCTGGTTTTGCTTCCAACTCAGCAGGACTCCAGTGACTTCCCGGAGCGTCTGGAACAAAACCAAATGCCTTGCCACGAAGTCCCGTTGTGAGCAGGTGCCTGGCTGTCTTTTGTCCGCATCTTGCCCCACACTTCAACTCTACAGGCTGTTTTCTTTTCTTTGAACGTACTAAGCTGTTTCCAAGTCCAAGGCCTTTTGCACTTGCCATTTTCTCTTTATATAGAATGACCTTCCTCAGATTTTTTTCTTTTGGAAAACAATTAGCAGTCAGATGATGAGACCGGAGCCCCATGCCTCTCATACCCAGGTGCTGACGGTGTTAGCTGGAGCCACCACGTTCCCAGCCTACTATGCATCACCCTTCCTACTGCCCTGACAGTGACCAGGAGCTGACATTTCCTTGTATTGTTTACTTGCTCCTGAGTCAGAATTGAGTCCATGGCAACTCTGGTGTTTTTGTTGACTGTTTGGTTGTGCTTTCATTATCTGCTAGTGACATCTCTCCTTGTCATTAGGATAGTAAGCCCCACTAAAGCAGGAATCCTTCTCCTTCATGTGTCAGTAAATGTGGAACTTTCTTCAAATGCCTGTTTTACTAACAATGATGGGTTAACAGGAAAGAAAAATTAATAGCTGCCACCCAACCCCCAGTGATGTGCAAAATGAAAATTGGAAGTAATGTTTTTGGATGTTGTTATTTGTTGTCAAGTCAGAATCAACTCACAGGTGACCTTCCAGAAGGTTTACAGAGGCTAATACATTGCATGGGAGGAGATGGTCCATCTTTCTTCCACTGGGAGGCTGGTGGATTTGAACTGTGTGCCTTTGGGTTGGCAGCACAGCTCCTTACCACTGTTGTTATGTGCCATGGAATCGCTTGCAACTCATAGTGACCCTGTGAGTTCTGAACAGGAATTCTAAACCTTGCTTTTTCTTGAGCCAACCTCATTGTCTCTAACACAGTTACCTCCATTAACCCAGTCACTGAATCAATCCATCTTTTCCAGGGTCTTCCTCTCTTGTGCTTTACCTCCACTTTTCCAAGCATGCCATCCCTCTCCAAGGACTGGTCCCACCTTGCAACATGTCCAAAGTATGGTAGACAGAGCTTCAGAATCCTTGCCTCCAAGGAGCAGCCTGGTCCACCCTCTCCAGGACAAACCTGTTTGTTCTCCTGGCAGTCCTTGGTATAGTCAATACTCTTCTCCAGTACCACAGCTCAAAGACATCACTTCTCTATCTGTCATCTCCAGTCATTGTCCAGCTTTCTGATGCACAACAAGTAATTCCAAAGATCGTGGTCTGGATTAGGCGCACCTTAGTCTCTAGACTGACATCATTGCTCTTCTATACTTTGGAGAGGTTTATGACAGCAGACTGTCCCAATGTAATTAATCTTTTGATTTCCTGGCTGTTAGTACCAAGAATGTTGATTGTGGAGCCACCTAAGCTGAAGCTGTTAACGATCGTAGTTTCTTTTCTATCATGATGCTGCCAATCAGCCCAGTTGTAAGAACTATTGTTTTCTTGATAGTGAGCTTCAGTCCATATTGAAGGCTTCAGTCTTTGACCTTCTGCGCAAATGCCTCAGGTCCTCCTCAGTACCACTAGGCCATCATAAATCTGCTAGGATGCTTGAGTGCAGGCTCACCTGTATTACATTAGGAACAGATGGGGAATGTCAGTGGAGTTGGAAACTCTGTGCAGGAGCCTTGATAATCCTTTCTCAGCTTTATAAACGCAGGACCATGGTCCTGACTGTTGTAGAGCCCTCCCTTCCCCACCTCCCCACCCCCGCCCATGTTTAGGTGGTTTGTTAGGCAAGTTAACAGGTGACAGTTCAGGTTGGAAACAGGTTGCAGTCTTTTAGTTAGGACAGCCTCTCAAGCACGCTTGCAGGCCTTTTGACTTTGAGCTGCAGCTCAGTGTTACAAAGGTCTCTTAGTCCTACCAGTTATGACATCTCCCTTCCAGTCCTCCGGCAAGCTTGGACAAAGGCCCTTCCTATGGCTGTGGCTCCTGCTCCATAGAGTAGCAGCCCGAGTCAACTCAAGATCAGATCCCTTTATAGTCAAGCAAGATGCCTTCTCACCCCCATTCCCTGAGGTAAGCCAGGCCTGGTGCGAGACTTAACCAGCGCTGCCTTGTCTGTGCTGGTTGTATGTGACCTACCCTAAGGTAGGTACCTTGCTGTCTTGAAGTTTTATGTTTTAATGAATGCCTGCACACTTTTTTTTAAAAAATTAATTTTGATGAAAGTTTACAGTCTTTGGATTTCCATTCATTCATTGTTGCAGTTTTCTCCCTGCCCACCCCTCCCCCCCAGTTCACTCTTCTCTTTGAAAAGTAAAAGAAAAATTCTTTAATTACAATCCCTCCCCCCAAGTCCACTCCACTCTGCTCCC